CCCCTTCCCTTGTTTGAGTTGTGAGCCGCCCTGAGTCCCCTTTGGGGAAAAGGGCGGCATACAAATGAAATGAAATAAACAAACAGTTCTTTTTCATCATGGTCTCTGTGATTCACATGGATGATTAGCACTCTATTTACCTAAAGTAAACCTGAGTGTGATAAGATAACCTAGAAGAGGACAGTCCTTCTAAGATTGCTTCCTGTGGAAATGAACGTCTAAAGGTAGAAGACTGAACCCATGCAGCTTTCTCTACTGTAGTTGTTTAAATAAAAAGTAGTAAGGTGTCGACGCTTTTCTTGCATTTGTGAGAAGACCATAAATTGAAAGGGAAATGACTGTTTAGACAGTTTCTAACATAGCTTGATTGGTCATAGTATGACCACAAACTTTAGATGGATCTTGAAAATCCAAGAATAAGCACTGATCTTGGTGGAAAGGACCCAAATAGTCCAGGAAGGAGGCAAGAATATGATGGTCATTTAAACATGGGATATATATTCTGATTCAAGTGAATATCATGAACAGAGTTTGGATGAAGGACTATTTGATTTCTGTGAAAAAAGGGATGGACAGTGTCTTTATAGATGAGCACAGAGTTCAGAAATGTCCTTGAAGAAAGAATTCAAAGACTTATGTAAGCATTAGCTTATTCTGCATAGACAGGAGGTGAACAAAAATTCTCTTTAATTCTGAAATGATTCTTTTGATACAATATGGCAAGAGAATATCTCTGTCAAACTTCTACAAAATTATGTTATTAAACTCTAACATAATAGCATAGATGTATTGCCTGTGGTACTGAAGAACTAGGTTGAGGAGATATCTTCCTGAAGAAATATATGTGATTGCTAAGAGTTGACATCATCTTATAAGCACATAGGTCTTGTGGTATCTGTTTCAAGGCACATACTGTACTTCTTTGATTGAGGGAACATCATGGCTACATAACTGAATTAGGAAAGTACACAAGCTAAACCAACTCTCAGAGAATAAGGCATCAGCTTGAATTTCTGGAAGTGAAGAAGAAGCTGTAACATAGAGATGTTACATTTTTATAAAATGCTTGGTTAATGGGATGGAGAAAGGAAAAGTTTCCCAAAAATGAAAGAAGATTCCAGGAAGATATACTTTTAGTGGAAAAAAAAGAAAAGAACTGAGTAACAATGAGTAACACTGAGTAACTGAGTGCTACTCTTCTACATAAAGGCAAAAGACCAAAATGGGTGGAAACAGTATAAAATTATGAAATCATGATTGTTGAGACCAATATATTATGACAAAAGCAGGGGTGAAATGCTACTGGTTCGGACTGGTTCACCCAAACTGGTAGTAAAAAAAAGAAAACCTTTCCAGATGAAGCGGTTTTTCTGTCTATCAGCTGTGATGTGCAATTTATGTTAGCTAGAAAGCAGGATTTCCTACCGTATTTTTCAGAGTGTAAGAAGCACTGGAGTATAAGACACTGCAAGATTTTGAAGAGGAAAATTAAGACAAAAGTTTTTGCACTCTGCAAACCTCCCCAAAATGGCACATTTTTTGTGAAAACGAGCCTTTAGGGAGCTTGCAGTGTCCTCCGGGGGAGGGCAAAAATGAGAAAAAAAGCCAATTTTTCATGAAAACTGGCCCATTTTTCATTTAAAAAAGGGCATGGGTAGCATTTAGGA